GCATAAAAAAAAGAACCAAATAGGTTTAAACTTACCTGTGTCTCCGACGCGTGCTCCTGTCCGAAGATCGTAAGATTTTCAGGTGGCCAAAAAGGATCATGGGGCCGGCGCACGAGCAGTTCAGATCTTCAGGAGAAGATGTAAGGTAACACTAGGTAAGTCAATGCAGCAGCGTGCACCCGCACAGACTCCGTTTAACAGAAAGAGACATAAGTCAGTGCTGGATCAGAGACCGGCATGAGCGCTGGAGGGACTCCTGGAAAGAAAATGATGATCGGATCAAGAGGCATCATTTAAGGTGAGTCATTAAAGCAGCATGGGGGGGGGGGGGGTTTGTTTACTTTAATGTCACTTTAAGTGTTTGTAAACCCAATTAACACATTCTCATACAAGCTTTTACATTGATGCAATTCCAAAAGGTATTTTTAACTTTGTTAAATCTTCAGCTTTCACTAAACTAATACATGATGATCCTGTCATGACGGTCCTTGTTCAGACACTTAATTTTATGGGTTACCTTAATTTTATAGGGTACAAAGTAAAAGTTTTTTTGAAAGCAGGGACCCTTTAGAATAACTGCATTTTTTTAGGTGAGGTACAATTAGTACAACAGTTTACCAAACCTAAATTTTCAAATTTTCAAATTGCATACAAGTTTATGCAAAACAATGTACCGCTTTTGGTACAAAATTCCTGACATAATCATACCGCTAGGGAGGTTAAGTGCAGGCATTGGCCAGGCGTGCCGGCAGTTCTTTGTGTATCGCATGTTCAGTATGCTATGTACACTCATCTTAACTTACAAGGACCACAAATTGCATAAATAGATTTCTGCTAAATTATTCAGAAAACAATTGTTGCTTTGGTCTGTGTGAGAAAAAATTACGTATTACTGGCTATCAGTCAGACATCTTTAAATTGCATATATAAAATAATATAATAATTATTATGGTTTGGGCCAAACGCTGTATGTTTACAAGTCTGTTAAGTGGCCCTTTATATGTATTTTTCTTATTTTATGTTTTTGAGGTGTGGTGATGACATGCGAGATGACCATCCCCTTGCAGTATTACATCCACTCACTCTTGCAGCACCATTGTAGACGGTGAGACCTAATCCTCTGCTAAGTGGAAGATTGGTGACTGTCCCAATATTATTTCTCTTTACAGAGCTTCCATTTAGGAGAGCCTTGGGCTTGCAATTGCGGATTCCTCTTCCCAACACCATGTCCCTTGGCAATTACACTTACAGCAATAAGTGCAGACGGCCCTTGAAAGTCTTTCAAACCTTTGATGTAGAACTTTGCAGAACAGGAGATGGTGGAGTACACAAATCTCTTCCAGTTCTCTGGCTAGATGTTTCTTGGTGGATTTCAGCAACCAGGAGCACACAGCCACCAATGAAGCAATTCAACCAGAAAACAGGAGGTTCTTCTGTTACTCTGTTCCAGCCCTCTGACTCTAGCATAGAATATTTACTGAAAGCTTGATCTCTACAGGCATACAGCCTGCAAGAATATTACACCCTCTAGGCCCATGCTCAAGCGCTGGGGCCTCCCAACAGGCACTCAGCCTGCTCACAGGGGAACAACCCCTCCACAAGGAGCTTTTCAGATGACGGCTCAGCTGTTTTGTTATACATACCTCTCAAATGTCCCTGGTTTGATGGAAGAATCCCTCTTTTGGAACCAAAATCCTTCTGTCCCTTTTTCCTCGGCAGTTGGACAATGTAACTACCAGAAGTCTTATGTTACTTTTTCATCCAGCCTCTAAATTATTGCTTTTCTTATTTTGAAAAGCCACTTTAAAGAAAAAGTTGTAGCGAAAAATCACACGTGGGTTTACCATGTTTTCTGAAGCAATGGTGCCCGTTCACATCTGAGCTTTGTACTGTCGAATGTTGTGCAGAATTATTTTTCTCCAGAAAAGTTAAATATTTCAGTCCTTGTATTACTCTTTATCCATATCAGCAAAATTGTTACTGTAACTGTAAAAAATGTTATATACCTGATGAGTAGATGCACACAAATACTAAGCCCATGAGCCCTGACAGTTTGTAGATATCATGCTTTTACTAACTTTTTAGCAGGAGAAACGCCATTGGCCTCTTTAGGAAAGAGAGGTCATCCCAAAAACACATTGCAAGCAGAGAACATACTTGAGTGGCCACAAAGTGTGTGTAATTGTTTCCAGTACAGATTTTCTGTATGTTTACAGTGGCCCCTGCTCCCCATAGAGAAGAATGTAAGTTTTTTAACATTTCAGACAGCTATAAAAGCATGATGGGGAATGCATTGGTTTATAAGCTGTGGTTGGCTTGATGCCTTTATAGTTGAACCTTAGGCAAAAGTATATATAATTAGTATGAGAATGCTGATGCTTGAATAACATTTGGATATTGGCAGGTGATGTTTAATATTAATTTAAGTACAATTCACTACCTTAATTGGTTCACATATGCAGTTCACTTGTTGGTGATTATGCTGCAATAAACCATGTTACTAATGCTATTATTTTTAGTTCTCACCAGTTGTTATGTTGGGTTAATTCCACCGCCTCTCTTAATGCTCTCCAGTGGAGCAGTTGAAATGTATTGGCCTGAATGTTGCATTACTCTTGCTAACTTGGGTGAGCAGCATGCCTGCTAGTTATTAATCTCTAGCCTGTAAATGAACCTGGTTCAGTGGTGACAAAATCAATATAGTATCCAATGCTTAAAGGTGTGAAGAGACGCAGTAACTCTGTTTTTGCTTTGCAGTACGGTATAAGGTAATTTTTTCAGTAGAAGTAGGGTTCTGCGGCACTATTAGAATCCTAGGTGTAAGGACAGTTAATGCTGCAATGGCAAAATTACAATGGTGGTGAATTTGTATACCATGAGCACATTTTGTGAGTAACATATTTAATATAAAGGGTAGTATTTTGCAGTTTTTTGGGGAAATTGGCCTGTAAAAAAGGGACCCCACTTAGATTATTGTTCCCTACCATGGAGACATTGCGCAAGAATGATAGTTCTAGCCTTAGAAGCATGTTTGCTAGGGTGGTAAATTATTTATTGGTAGTTGGGAAGGTAAGGCATAGATAAGTAATACATGACTCTCACTCTTTCTCCTAAAAGTTAACCAGGTTTGTGCTTGTGTTCAATTTTTCTTTTCAACTAATGTTTTTTTGCCTGTAGATCACTGCTTTCTGGACAGTTCAACAAGATGCCCAATGAGCCATGACATTTATGATTCAGTTCTTTAAAAGCAAACTGCTAAAAATAACCACAAACATTATACAAGGTCTTCAAAACAAAGTTGGCAACAATGAGGCATAGAGCCTAATATGTGCATCCTGGTGCAGCCTCTCTATTCATTAGTTTTTTTCCAAACCAACACCAACATCACAACATCTTGCATATCAGCCTCCACCAATTAAGAAATCAGTGGGGGGAATTCATCAAAAGTGGAGCAGTTGCCCATGGCACCCAATCAGCTTCTCTCTTAAGTTCGTTTAGTTAAGATTTGAAAATGAAAGATAGATGCTCATTGGTTGCCATGGACAGCTGCTCCAGATTTTGTCTGCTCCAGTTTTGATAAATCCCCCTCAGTTTGTATTCCATTTGAAACTTCGCCAACCTACTTTGACCAAATACAAATATATCCAGACCACATTACTCAACCATGGACTTAAACCAAAGTCTTTTTTAATAACGGACTTAACTTATTGCTCTTGATGTCTTGAGGTTATATGTTGCACACCATAGCCAGACGATCAATATCCTTGAACTAGTTTACAGAAAATGCCATAAATAAACAGTGATATAGAAAAGTCTTAACATTTATTTTTAAATGGAACTAGAGTAAGTATTTGAATCTGAGTTGCTATAAGCATCTTGTAATCCTCTCTACAGCAGGACTGGGTGGGCTGCACTAAGAGCTCTGGCTGCTGTCAGTGGAGCTGGCTCCTAAACAATCCTACTGGCTCCTAAATTTCGTATTAATTTGTCCACCCCTATTTACAAAAAGCTAGGCTCAGTACAGGGTATACTGATAACAGGAGGTATATTGTTTGGAATTACTTGAATCCTATAGGCAGTGCAGCATACTTGGGCCTTGTAGGGTATTGTATGCCCCATATTGCCGGTTAGTTTCCAGCTGTGTTTCCTATTTCTCCCTAAATTGTTAATTATACTGTAACTGTGTCAGTCCATGTTATAGTGCTAACTTTAGATTGAATACTTTTCTGGGGATGAATGGTGACTTAGTTCAGATAAACCATACAAGGATTGGCTTATCCCATACTATTAGAGTGAGCAATTTTGGTAAATGCTCCCTTACCCTATTGCAAGCTTCACTTTAAGTGGTGGGTTCCCCTCTAAGTTATCGAACGTGTGGAATTTATGGTTGCATTCTCCCTTAACGAAAAACAAAATATCTAATATACTAGACATGTCATGCCAACTGGTGGTTTTTGGCCCACATACTGCTCACTTACTCCTTTTTTGCCACCCTCAGTAATTTAGGAATTTTAAATGAAAAAGGGCTTAGCTATTCTCTAATTGACAAAAGTCACACTTCCATATGTAATTGTGCTGCTCAATATTTTAAGAAATGATTTATAGCCTCTTTCCCTGGTACAGAAAGTTGCAAGCTGCAACTGTTACTGTGATAATTACCAAAATGTGATAATCCTTTTCTCGTATTAAATAGGTGCTGCCTTCAAGAGATATGATGTGGTCCACATAAGATTAATTTCACTCTTTGTCCAAACAGTTTGGCCAACTGTTTAATTTGAGTTCGACATGCCTATTGTATACCTTCTGAATAGTTACTGGTGGTTTATAGTCTTATGTGAAACTGTATGTCACTCTGTAACTGTTTGTAAATCTGGCATAATTATGCATGGATTTTTATTATGATTGTGTTTTTTTATGCAAAAACCACCTAACGAAAACAGAACTTTTTCCAAATGTTTTGCTGTCTGACTAAAGCTGATTTGTGTTTGCTTTTTCTCTAGTGATGCAGGACCAAGCAACAAACCGCTAGAAGCCTCTTATGACATGGGCAGCACTGAAATCCTTCAAAAAGGAAGCACTGAAAACCTCAGCAATGGGACCAATAGTAATGTACAAGCTGCAAAACGCCTGGCCAAACGCCTCTACCAGCTGGATGGATTTAAACGCTCAGATGTTGCCAAGCACTTAGGAAAAAAGTATGTATTTTAACTTCATGATAAAAAATAACAAGCAATATATGCTAGTTTATATGAGCAGACATCAATACATTCTTCACATGATCTGTCTATATAATGGCTGTGCTTTAACAACAATTTGTCACTTTTAGAATACCTTATTTGGTTTGATGCATGTTATTAATTTTTCTTGCTACAAATGGCAGTTTTCAGGGATACCACTTTGTATGGAGATAGTTGATCTGCCACAGTCTGGACAAGAAGCAACTGTCCATGCTTTTCATTTCACCTGACACTTCCGGCTCAATACTTAGCCTGCTGTGACTGGTTTTCTGTAAACACTAGGCCAAATAAATAGCAACGAGCTGTTTACATATTTGTAGTAGTTTTTCATTATTGCCCATATAGTGTTTGGTAGGCATTAACAATTCTTGGATCTCCAAAGAGATTAGGTTTGGTAAATATAGTCACAGATTGAATACTGGCATGCTTTAGGCAGATTTAAAGTTTGGGTAGATCGAGATACATTTTTTTAAACTATCCACATTATAGAATTTAAAATGTTGAAATGTTAATGCTGGGGCTGCTCTTGTCTACTTTTAGAAGGCATTTGGCAGATTCCCTGAAAGCTGTTATCCTTACACAGAAACCAGAGCTTTTGGGAACTTCACCTCATAGATTATTGGAATGATATTTCCGGAATGGTTTTTATTTGTAATACTCCACTAGAAGGATCTGGTCAATCAGTAATAGGCGAGAGACTGTCATCAGGCCATTCCCTATCACGGAGGTCATCTGTACTGTGGACACAAAATCAAATAAGTAAATATTAATATAATCACTACATTAGAAAATGAAACCATGCCTGATTAGATGCTATAAGAATTAAGAATTTAGAGTCTATTCCAGATGTGCACAACTCAAGTCCAGGTAAGAGAAATAGTGGAATTGTATTCTAAAGGGTTGCACAGTAAGTACTACATTTCAAACTTAAAAGTAAAAGCGCGGATGCCACAGATTACCATTTTTAGACAGAAAAGCCTATCTGAGTTATATTCACTTTGTCATGGGGGCCTTAGTTCATGGCTAAGCCAAGTATCACCCTTCTGTCTAACTGAGGTAGCCTGATTAGTCTGAATGAAAGCACAGTTGGTAGGGCTTAACCATCAAATCAGGCCCCAGTAATAGAGTGCAACTAAATCAGAGATCGGTTCAGAATCCGTTTTCACACACAAAACAGGCTTGATCTCTCTGTTGCTAGTGGGGAAAATAAGCAAAGGGTGTTTTAAAAAACATGAGCAAAATAAGCATAATAACAATATTAATAAAAATCCTGTTAGAATTACAATTCATATTTTAGTATATCACAGTGCATGTCAATAAATATATATGCTACAGTTTTCAGGCAATCAGTTAGGTCAAATGGCCATGGTGCCTATGTAATAAAGCCACTGGGCCTACAATAAAACTCCTATTTTGCATAAAATATAAACAGCGTAGTAAATTATGCGTAACTACTCCTGCAGTAATATAAATGTGTCTCTTTAATTCTTGGTAAAGTGTTTGTTCTATCCTTTATATCCGGTGTTCTGTGAAGATGCATTTTTGCAACCTTATTGTGTAATTTTACAGTTCATATCAGCAGTGAAATGCGAATATATCAGATAATTAGGACAGGCCAATTGTTAGTTTTCTGATCCTTATTGTGTGCTTTGTAGACTCTGAATCTCAGAATTGTCTAGTGCATGGCAATTTACATTTTACAGAGATTTTCTGTTGATTGTTAGACGAATTAAAAGGCTACATTTGAATTGAGGCATTTAAATTCTTTTAAATTGGATGACTCATTCATCCATGATAATTTATTTTGTTGCACTTGTAAATTCCCTCCTTTGTGTACAATATGTTGCTCTGTAATTTTTAACACATGAATAATTATAACTGGGACCCTTGAGTCTGCTTTTAAGGAAGCGTTTTAGGCACTCTAATTAAATCTGTCAAAATGAGCGGTTTCATAATTAAACAATTGCATTGCACAACACTCATTGTTTTATTTTTGTTTTCTCACAGCAATGAATTTAGCAAGCTTGTGGCAGAAGAATATCTTAAATTTTTTGATTTCACGGGTATGGCCTTAGATCAGTCACTCAGGTATGTGAAATGTACCAAAATGTTATATTAAGTATTATTACTACATTATTATTATTGCTGCTTTTATAATCTTCCTAGCCCAGATTCGTGGAAAGGCCACATATGCAAGGGACTGAGTTTTAAACACTTTTAGCCTGTGGATTAACCATTATTTTATTATTTCTTATATATGCCTTTAGGAAAAAAAACAATATTATTTTGAAATCAAAATTGCATTGTTTATAGAATATCATATCTATGGTAAATTGGATACATATAACTCTGCAACCACGAATCCTTGTGGCTGTGGAATGCTCTGCACTAATACATTCCTGGCAGGCATCATGTACTTTGAATCTGGTCCTTCTTTTTCTATTCTAATAGATTTTTCATTTAAAATTAAAATTAAAAAAATCTAAACTATTAAAAAACCAGGAGTCTTGATTTGACATTTCTACATGCAGCACCATATCAATTTGGAGTTCATGTGGATACAATTCCAATAAGATAGACAGACCCACTCCTGACATTTCTAGGTGTTGAGCCTTAATGACCACCACATGTCAGATAGGAAAGTCATGCAGCGGTGCTCTTATGTGTTTGATCAGGAGGGCATACACATAAGAGCATATACACATCTATATGACTCAGTTTTTAATTTACAAGCTGCACCAATCCACATTTTTGGTTTACTGCTTTGTAAGTAGTTAACTACAGTACTTATTTTTTTGCAAACTATATTTGTATGTTAATCATTGGAAGATGCAGCTCTGCTTTAGATTATCACATAATGCATAGCGTGCCATCTGCAGTGGTAGGATGCTAGGTACAACTAAAAACAAGAGACAGCCCAGGGGTGTCCCCTGCTATGTGGGTTTTTTTTCTAGGGGGACAGCTGTATGGTCTGCCACAGTCTCATCCCTTACATATGATTGTCACAGTGTATTTCCTCACAGGCTGGCAACTTCTCAGCTTTGGGGGTGGTGTCTTACCGTTACCAGTGTGTATACCTGGGACTTCAGGTAATCCTTCCTGAAGAGTGGTAAGTAGTGGGGCATCTAATTTAAACCCTTACAGAAGTCTGAAAAAAAGACTTCTGAAGCTGCAGTGTGGTCGGTGTCAGTGCTGATTAAGTTTGTCAATATAGGATTAAAAATTACCCAGCTTAGGCATCTGATGCACCATTACCTTTTGGGAAACCTGTGCCGAAATTTTTTGCTAACCTTTATCCATTCCGCTCATTTTTCAACGATTGTAAGCGACCAACTCCATTGTTTTGCCAAAGCACTTTGTGGTACGTTACCCCTTTGAGGAAAAATGCACTAAAAGAGGGCCAACCTGTCTTTGGTGGCTTCTCCAGTTACTTAAATAAACAAAGCGATGAATATCTTGGCGGAGGTCTCCTCTTCCCTTAAAGATCCTACACGCAGGAAGGTGGAAGCTGTTGCTGGGTCTATGTACTCAATTTGAGGAGACTTACTGCACCCAGTCAAAGCATCTGCATTTGTTTCACTAGCCCTAACAGAAAGGGGCAAAACCCTACACAAGGGTCTAGCAGAATAACAAATCTCATATATTTATGTGAATTTGGTGCAGTAGCTGGTACAGGGCTTACAGTTTGTTGGTAGAGTGACCAAACACCAGGATCTTACGCATCTTCCTTTCATAGGGGCATCAACTTTACAGAGCGATGCTGGATGAGATGATCAAGAAATTCACCTGAGGAAATAGCACCATCTGGGCCTTCCTTTTTAACACATGTGTTTTTTCATCTGTGAGGAAATTCAGACAAGTGGAAAAAGTCCAAGCCTGTGGAGAGAGCCTGTGTTAGCTCCGGGTGGGAGGATGACTTCTAGCATTCGTGAACTATTGGCCAACCCATGTTTGGGGCAAATAGATTCATGATTTGGTAGCCCTGGGCTACAAATTCATGTTTCACGCACCCCCTCTTGAAATATTTTTCCCATCCAACCTGCGCCTCTCCCCCCAGTGGATATTGAATTTACGTTTGGCCATCGAAGGAACTCCTGGCTCAGGGGGAGTTCTGTCTGCAGAAAGGTTAAAAGGTTTCTACTCGAACCTCTTCACAGTGCCCGAGAAGGGTTGAATATGACCTGTCTTGCATCCCAACGTGTTCAATGATTTTGTGAAAATCCATGTTCAAGATGGAGTTGATTCATTCAGTAGTGTGAAGTTGGGGAGCTCACAGAGCACTCGCACAGCGTTTCTCCATCAACAAAAGTCTTTATTTTCTTTTAACAGCAGGTAATCAGGACGTCCAACATAAAGAAAGCTTGTCTTCAGCAGAATATACATATATTGGCTCACCAATCACCAAGTCGTCTCACACACTCACAGTGTCCCAGTTTTTCAATAGTTCTCTATTGCAGCACTGCTGCTCCGGCCTCAATCCGCAGGGCCACGGTCTGGTTCCTCCAGACCACCTCAATACTGTGCTATCCTGCAGCTCCCTGCTGCACTGGCCTCCACACTGACTCCCAGGTGGCAATCTCCTGTCTCCCAGGTGGGGCCCTGAACACATCCCAGCACCCTCTTCATGAGGGATGTACACAGGTGCATAATCACTATTAAGGCATGGACCCATGGAATGGAGATTTCGTCCCACCCAAAGCTCTAAGAAATCTCCTGGCTCCAGGATCCCAACTAGGATCCAGAAAACAAGGAAAGGACTGAAAAGGCAGTCCTTTCCTGGTACAAGTAATTAATTCCTGGAGCCACTCGGCCCCTCTGGCTGAGAATCCTGGGTCACTTTGAGGCCACATAACACAGTGGTATTGCCACGCAATGCCACAGTAGTTAAAAGGCACTCTCTTAGAACGTGGCTTTTTAGTAGATATTACTTTGGCAGGTAGACTCTCGAGTTGGTGACGTTGTTTTCTATATTTGGTTCTAAGGATAAGGTTGTTCTTTTTTCCAGACTCCTTTCTGTCGAAGGAAGTGTCAGCTTTTACCCTGAATGATGACATTGTTCTCCTGTTGTTTTTTCCCAAGCCAATCCATCGTAAGGAAATTGCCTTACATTCTTTGGATTTCACAAAGTTTTGCAAAGTGGATGTAGCAACATCAGCTGAAGCCAGTTTTTGGCATAAAGTTTACATACAGCAGTCTGACAGACCTGTATTATTTCCTTTTGAGATGATCATCTGGTTCTCTGTTCTATTTTTGCCCACCCTGTTATGGCATTGCTTTGAGACATCCAAGTAGGTGCTACTAATCTAAAGCAGAGCGGTGTCCTCCAATGAATGAAAGAGAAAATGTAGTATTTTTTATACTTGCGGTAAAATCCTTTTCTCGGCATTCATTAAAGCACCTGCACCTCAGGTTTTGTTGTCAGTGTGTTTAAATACATATATATATATATATATATATACACATTTATTGCAAGTGATGCATTCTGTAGAAAGAAGAACGGCAAGTGATAATTTTGGGCTTCTAGGGGTTATTTATAAAGCAGTTCTATGCATCGCCATGCCCCCTCCCGCCCCAGAGCGCAGGGAGCTGGCTGGGATTCGATATTTGTTCCACAGTGTGGGGGGTTTGCCCACCATCAGGGGCCACACCTGGGCTGTCTTTTGTTTTTTAGTTGTACCTAGTGTCCTACCCATGCAGGTGATTATCTAAAGCAGAGCTGTGGCCTCCAATAAATGCAGAAAAAAGGATTCTCTGATTGGTACGAAAATTAATTTTTTTACTTCAGGATTTAACTGAAATTTGCAGTATATGTACTATATGCAGTGTTTTCAGCTGGGTATATCTATACCATCTAAAAGGAACATGCTCTGACAGCTGTTTCCACAGTTTAGTGTGTGGTATATTTAGAAATATTTTGAAGTTCAAAAATGTTAGTTTCACATTCTGGTGATAAGACTAACAATACTGCCACCTATTGATCGAAGGAGGAAATACATTTTCTACTCTGGAACTCTATAAATGGAGTTTCTCCACTCTAATATATTGATTATACAGTGAATAAAAACAATCTGTGGGACACTGAGGAATTTGTCTGAAATGAATATTTCACTTTAAACAAAATCTATGAATACTTTGGATCTTGATGTATATTGGGAGCCTGGGAATCACCAGTACTGCCAAGTAAAACAGCAGGGTTTGGCTGTGATGTATCCATCTTACCTGCATAATTTCTGATGCTTCAGGCTTTGTGCTTTCATCGTGGCAGTGATCTCAAAATTGAAGAACACTAGCATATTTTAACTATCCAGAAAGCTCCATATTGGCCTTAAACTAGGACTACCAGAATGTTTTTATTTGTTGCTGCTTTTAGGTTTTAGATGAACTGTGACATCTTTGGGATTGTTCGATTTGCAGGAGATTTTTCCCTTGGCTTACTAAATGTGGTGAAAATTCACTTTGCAAAGAATACCCACTCAAAAGCAGGAAAATAATTTTAAAAAACTATTTTTGCTTGCACATTTTTGAATGATTGACGAAGGCAAAGCTTCACCTAATTTACTTAGCTAAGATAAAATTTCCTTGCACAACCAAGTGAACAACCTATTACCCCAGTGACTCTGAAAGGACTGCTGGAACTTTGTGGAACTATGTGGAACTTTGTTGTTGTTTGAATATGTTTTTCGAATGCTTCTTTGTTGTACAAGTATATTTTAGCTACAGTATACCTAAAGTGATTCTGTCTCCTGAAAACAAAATTTAGCTGCTAAGAACTATGATGTGTAGGCACCTAGAGGCATGTACACATATCTGCAGTAGCCTTTACTGACCTCTATGCATGGATGGCCAGCTGTTAGCTGCCAAAGCTCATGCACTACCTGGTAATGTCAGGGCTTGCCCGCTCTCCACGTGATGGGCCAGTAGAACTGTTTGAAAGCTAAATGGAGCTCTTTATACAGTGGATATTAAAAGTCTACACACACTTGTATACATACAAGGTTTTTGAGATTAAGAAAAAAATCAGATCAAGTTAAATCACTTCAGATTTTTTTCCACCTTTAATGTGACCGATAATCTGTACAATTCAATTAAAAACAAACCGAGATTGTTAAGTGGAGAAAATAAATAAAATAATGTGCCTGCTTGACTGCACACACCCTCTTATAAGTATTGAGGTGGTCTGGAGGAACCGTCTTTTGTCTCCCGAGCAGGCTTGAAAACCCGCCGAGAATCGTACGATTGTCTGCGGGTTAGTGACGTTCTCGAGAGACAAATGCCACACGGGCCGTTGTGCGTAAGCGCACATTGCCCGTGCGGCATTGCAGTCATCGGAAGCCTGCCCCTCAGTGGGGCAGGCTTGCGATGATCGCAAGTACGATCTGCCTGTCCAAGATGGGCAGATCGTACGTTTTTTTAATTACCTTACAACCATCGCAAGACAAAGGTCTTGCGATGGTTGCAAGGCGTATGGCCAGCTTAACTCAGTTGCCTCTTACAGCCAAAGCCATGGTCCGTAAACAACTTACAAACCATCAAAGGAATCTCATTCTTGGAAGGTATCCACGAGGGGAAGGGTTCAAAAATATATACCATGGAACATAGTGAAGATGGTCATGAACAAGTGAAGAAAATATGGCACAACAGTGACATTACCAAGAAGTGGACCTCCAAAATTGATGAAAAAAACAAGAAGAAAACTGGTCCGGGAGGCTGCCAAGAGGCCTACAGTAACATTAAAAGAGAACAAAAGCCAAACCTTTTTTTGGCTTTAGTTCCCTTTTAGGTCACAGGAGTACATCTACTAATGTTCTCCTGTGACCCAAACCCAGCAAATAGCGGGCTTCTGCCCACTATATGCTGACAGCGCAGAGCCATGCTGCAGCCGGGAAAGATCATGACAATATCGTCGGGATCCACTCAGCTGCCCGATTGACAGTTGGCTCTACCTCTCTAAAACCAAAACCAGCTGTTCCAGCCCCATCCCTTGTCTGTCCCTCCAGTGAGTGCTGAAGGAATATAGAGGGGAGGGGGGAATTCCTGCAGGGGGGAGGTGGCTGACAGTCACTGCTCTCTGCATGGAGAAGACTCTGAGCTGAGCAATCAGCGGTTTGTGATCACTCAGTTCTCCACATGTAGTGTCACGTGGCGGCTCAAACTATTGGGAAGAGTACATTTTACTCCTTCTACTTTAAGGGAGCCGCAGACATTTTTGGCAAGTACTTGCCAAATTACATGTGACAACAGTCTCCCATGTTCTTCATATGTCTGGGCTGTAGGGTGGGGTGGCGAGACGGAAGCCCTTTCTCACTAAGAAAAAAATCCAAGCCCATCTATATTTGGGAAAAACCTACATCAAGTCTGACAAAAGCGTGTGGAAAAATGTGTAATGGTCTGATGAGCCCAAGATTGAACTTTTTGGCCATAAGTATGTTTGGCGCAGAAGCAACACTGCACATCACCAAAAGGACGCCAGACCCACAGTGAAGCATGGTGGTGGCAGCATTATGATGTGGTGCTGTTTCATTTCAGCTGAAGCTAGGGCTTTAGTCAAGCTGGAACTTATGAACATTTACAAATATCAGTCAATTTTGGCACAAAACCTTGAGGCCTCAGCTAAAAAGCTGAAGAGGAATTTTACCTTTCAGCACGACAATGACCCAAAGCATACCTTCAAATCATCAAAGGAATTGCTTCACCAGAAGAAAGACAACGTTTTGGAATGGCCCAGCCAGATCCTGGACCTGTATCAGATTGAAAATGTGTGGGGTGACTTGAAGAGAGCTGTGCACAGGAGATGCCCTCACATTCTGACAGATGTGGAGTGCTTTTGCAAGGAAGAGTGGGTAAAGATTCCCAGGGCAAGATATGCCATGCTGATAGGCCAAAAAAATAATGGTGTCATAAAATCAAAATTTAAATAAACAAAGTATTAGTTTAAGGGTGTGCATATTTATGCAACCACATTATTGTAAGTTTTTTATTTGAATTTATTTTCCCCTTTAAAGCTTTCAGTTTGTTTGTAATTGAAATGTAAAGATTATAGGTGGAAATTCTGAAGTAATTTATCTTGTGGTTTTTTTACAGGGGTGTGCAAACATTTTATATCCACTGTATATACTTCATATTTATATCTGCTCTCAGCTTAATTTTTTTAAGTTACAGATTAATTTACACTGCTAAGTGTCAATATTATTTTTTCTTCTGTGCAGGAGATTCTTTAAAGCCTTCTCACTAGTTGGAGAAACTCAGGAAAGGGAAAGAGTTTTAATTCACTTCTCCAACCGATATTTTCTGTGCAACCCAAACAGCATGTGTTCTCCAGGTAAATCTATGCTTATGTTCTTCATAATCATATGTATTTCCATATGTATAATGATATTTGTGTTTGGAAACATATTCAAATGGCTGCACCTCAAGAGCTTTTACACATGCACTGCATCCAAAGGTTACTGAAATATCCCAAGGTTCACTGATGTATGTGCTGTCAGTTTACCTATGTCTGTTTAATTCGGAAAATTCAGGCCTATTTATGGTAGTAATGACTAGAAATCAATGTGCAGTTACTATTCAAATTTCACCTTTTATCAACATAGAGCAGTCAGAACAATGAAAGATTGACAATTTGTTTGTTTGGGTTACTGTATTATTCAAGTCATTCTTTGTTTTATTAAAAGAAATCTGTTCAATGATTTTTTTTTTTTTTTTAGATATTGCATTATATTATTAGTAGGGATGTCCCGATAACATTTTTTCAAGACCAAGTACAAGTACTTTCCATCAGGTACTTGCAGATACCAATTACCAATACTTTTTTTTTATAAGGACATGTGAAATTTTTTTTCTAAAACAATACAGACTAATACTATTAGGGCAGTTTCTTTATAATTATGAAGAACTGTAACTCATTCCATGATTATACAGAAATAGATAATGGCAACTGGCTATAGAGGACTAAAAATCTCAGCAATGGAGAATGGCAACCAGCAATCATGGATTGCTGAAATTTGTAGTCTTCTATAGCCGGTTGCCATTCTCTTTTGCTGTATAATCATTGATTTATACCAAAGATGCATTTGGGTCTCACCAGGGATGCATGCAGGCCTCACCAGGGATGCGTGCAAGTCTCACCAGGTCTGTGTGTGGGATTCTCCAGGGCTCTGTGGGCGGGTTCTAGACTATCCATGGCTCTGCATGCGTCTGCTTGGCTCTCTAGGGCTGAACAGGTGGGGTTTGGGCTCGTGCCAGGATCAAGGGCTGTGCTGGTGAGAGTGGGGCTGTCTTGTGCTGCACCGGTAAGGCAGAGGAGGGAATGTGCAGTCGGACAGGCACTAATAAAGACAGCTGCCTGAAGACCCCAGCACGCTCAGGACCCCCAGGCAGTTGAACTTCCTGAAAAATGTAAAGAGCCAGTATCACCCTTAAGTATCGAGGCATTTTCAAGAGTACAAGTACTGCTGAAAATGCTAGTATCGGTATTGGGACATCCCTAATTATAAGTGTGCCTAATTCATGAAGGGCAAAGTGCAGGATATTACAAACAATGAGTGCAGAAGGTATGACAGCGAGCAGTATACACAGGAAAGGAGTGCAGAAGATATGACAGCGAGCAGTATGTACAGCAAAGGAGTGCAGAGGATATGACAGCGAGCAGTATACACAGGAACGAAGTGCAGAAGGTATGACAGAGAGCAGTATGTACAGGAAAGAAAAGTACACGGTAGGACATCCGGCAGTATGTGTATATGGGAAACCAATGAGTGCTAGAGGTGGGATCTCATTGTAAGGCTTCCTGCACATGGACACATGAGGTTGTAGAATGTAAATTGTGGGTATATTTCCATGCCTGGGATACACAGCTGCGGCTTACAGCCACCCATTGTAGTAAAATGGATGTAGGTCTGTCCATTTACGCCACTGCTTGTGAAAAACCTGCTCTTGCATGAAGTCATACACCTATGGATGCACACTAGCTGTTCCCTTAGGCTTGTACACATACAGGGTTTACGCAAATAGTAGTGAAATTGTGTGTACAGCCACTAAAATTAATACACCAGCCGTTTATGTTCTATGGCTCATTCACCCATGTGCATGTGGCCTTAGAGCATGCTCTGTTCAGCTAGAATAGCTAAGACTGGAGGCAGAATTTCCCAGTGAAACATGACAAAGTGTAACTAATACATTATAGTATATGGGATAGGATAGAACAGTTGAAGTCAGATTGGTATTAATGGTATCAAAAGGTGTTAATGCTTTAAAAAAAAAAAAAAAACTTCCCTAAAACATTCAAGAAACGTTTCTATGTATAGTTTGCAATTATAGATAAACTGTGTTTTTGACTTTTAAATCTTAAAGCCAGCACACCAGTTTACAGCATTGATCTCCCACCCCAAAATGAATGTCACGTCTGTCTTCTTTCTGCACATCCTGTCCTGTAAGAACATTAATTATCGTACATATTGATGAGATATTGATATAATGATCAAGAGAAACACATTAAATGCTGTGTTTGTAGTTTCTGGTGTTACATGCTAAACATGGTGACAGAACTGTGTTGACATATATGTATGCAGGGCTATATCTATAGGTGAAATAGGCAAAAAAGACAGTTTTTTCTTGTATAGTCATTGGCTCCTCATTTTGTTCCTATCATAAGTATGAATACAGTGATCTCATATAATCTTATTTAAACACTATTACAGTATTCTAAGACAGGTTAGGCCATTAAACAAATAAAGGAAGATTTAGTCCATACAGACTCCTGTAATGGAAATCTGACCCTGCATTTATATGTACTGTATTATACAAATCTCCTCTTATGTCTATGACTTTTTCTGGGCTCAATTTTTGCCCATGACCTAGCAGGCCGTTCGGCCCTGGTAGGCAATATAATGTAAAATTAGATTTTATTTATCCTTGTGTCATAAAAAAAAGCAGTCACAGAGCTATCAGTCAGATTCAAACCTGCCCTATAAAATTATGGTAGAAAATGAATAGCTTGAAACCGGTTGCCATGGCAGCCCTAAAGGCAGTTCTTAACGGAGACATGGTAAATAAGGCCAAGAGTGCTTGTATTAATGACCTTGCCAGTAGTGAAATCAATGCAGAACAATGAAAGAAAAGAGATGGAAGATATTATAGGCATTTACATCCTTTAAAAGCATACATTATTAAGGCTAACTAAATAGTAGCACATTCTTATGTATGTACTAATCTGTGTTTTAGATGGAGTGCATTGCCTTACCTGCGCAATTATGCTTCTTAACACTGACCTACATGGACATGTAAGTATTTACATAATGAAAACATTCTGTGTTAATATGACTGTTCAAATCATAAGTCAAGAAATCGTCATACGCCAGAGTACTAATTGTTTAAATCATGTACAGATAAATGAATAGCTGTTTATAATTTCTTCAAGACTATGTAGAATGCAGTGTATACTGCTGGTACGTGCTTTCTAAAAAATTGGATAACACAAACATAAATGTACACAAAATTCAGCAGACATAAAAAAAAAAAAACATTGTGTCAAATTATGATGTGGCTGTGATAATACAATTGACAAAACATGAGGGCTTGTTTGTTTGTGTTTACTTTTTTACTATAAGGATACATTTACACAAATCATTTAGGCTATTTTCTTATACCATGGTTTTCTGTAGTCCCAGAGTATGCAGAAATTGTGTTAGTAGAGTGCTGGAGCATATCCTTGTAGTGAAGTAGATGTTGCAATTCCAAAGCAGTATATCAGCTCTCTATCACTTGGGGAGTCTTCAAGGTAGTAGTAGACTGAATGTAGAGTGCTACAGTACTAGTTAGAGGTCCAGGTCATTTTTATTGTGCAAGAGAAGAAGCCAACACATTTTGAGGGCTCAATCAGGGCCTAAAATGCCGGCAGTGATACAGACTGAAACTAGACAAGGAATATTATAGGAAGATGTATCCTAATGAATACTAGACTGACAGTTTGAGAGAGGACAAGATGATGCAAACCACAAATTCAGAAAGAACAGAGAATTGACCACTTCAGATCGAAAGGTGCATAATAAGCCCCTTACATTTTCCTACAATATTCCTTGTCCAGTTCTATTTTGTATCAGTGTTTGCATTTTAAGCCCCCATAAAGGGAGAGTTGTGAGCCCCCAAAACATGTTGCCTTCTTCTCTTAGGTCTTCTAATTAGTACTGTAGCATACTAATATAATGATTTACTAAGGACATATGAATAAGTGTGAGTGCCAAACAGTCACATTCAATTCATATCAAGTTTCACTTTCACTGTGGACCTCAGAGTTCAGTGAGATCAGTGAGTTTGGTCTTGCTTTGTAAGCCACCTGTGTTCAAGTAGCAAGTGTTGAGTTTGGACTGTGTAAGCTAGTGTATGGCTCATATGTGTAATACGTTGGTAATAAGTTCCTATGGACCTAAATAGGGATTTTAATTGTCATTTCAATGCCATGCCATATGCCCCCATCCCATTCCCTGCGCATACCCCCTGTCTTTATTTTCAGTGAATGCCCTCCTTTCTGTAGTATACTTACCTGGTTTAGCGCCATGACTCCTATTATTCCCTGCAGGTATCACTTTATAAATGCAGAATTACTTCAAGGGAATGCAAAATAAATATTTTAGTCTGGTGAAATAGAAATACTGAAATATTGCATATGAAATAGTTATATTTTTACACACAAGCAAAACATTGTCTATTGTTGAGTAGATAATTTATAACAACTGAAAACCTCAGTGTATGTCCAGTCATACAGTGACTATGTGTGCTCAACTGAATGCAGGCAGCACTCCATTTTGTCAGCTTGGCTCGGTACTATTAAATTTGGCAGCCTGTGCTACTGTGTTGCAGCATTTGTGCAATCCATGTTTGATGTAATATAATGAGCTAATAATAAAAAAGATAACCAAACAACTGACCTAGTATCTTAATTTTCTTTCTTCATTCTTTTGGATGTCTTTTTGGATATCTTTGTTATTCATAACTCTAGGTGGTAAGTTGATTACTTTTATATCTTGCGTGTGTTTTCCATACATAACACAGTGAATGTGCTAATTCATTTCATTTCACAACACATGACGCTGGACCTTCAAGGAAACTTGTAGTGAGAGAAGGACTGCCATTAATTACCTCCTTCTGAAAATGTTTGTGGTGGTTTACGTCTTTAATATTTTCTTGGTCAACAACCCAAGCATGTAGCCAATGAAATCAGAACTTCTGATCTGCATGCTTGTACTAGGATATTGAGTCCGTAACATAAAGCATTGAGTTCATTGGATCACTGAGACTGCTAACATTTTCAGAAGGAGAGGTCAGCCCTACAGGTTTCCTTTCAAAGAACATTTCAGTTTTTATAAACACATGTAATAAAGCACAGTAAATTCACTTCATAATCCTGATAAAATGGTAGCCATATGCCTCCTTAGATAATGGGTTTTTGCTGCCACATATAGTGTGCTGCATGAAAGGGAAACTATATCTGCACCTGGAACTGATTACCATTTCTCTCATCTGACATTCTATCATCTGGGGCAGTCTTTTTATTTGCATCACATTTTGTATAATATGTAATAATTTGTAAGCATTCATTATAGTGAATGTATATTATATTTAGAGAATGAACTGAAATTTAATATTTGGCTTATAGCGTAAGTTCCTTACAATTTTTTTACGTAAAGTGCATCATAATGCAAGGTCTGTTTACTAGATCAGGGCCCACACTTTTATTATTTGCTAGTTTTATAAGAGCAAAAATGTACCTATAAGGAAAAAAGTTCTAACTTGTACTTGTAAAGTTGGTACTTATACCACCATTTTCCACCCATGGCGAATAAGGGAAGGTGATGTGTATATTTTTTTGGTGAGATCCTAAACCCCATGAGAAGACCCTCTCCCACTGGACTTGAGTGTCTATCTCGCAACTTTGTTGGTACTTATCGTTCCCAAGGCATCTTGCCACAAAGATAGTGATGTTACGTTCTGTGATGTGAAAGACGAGAGTTAGGTAAGTATTTATTCTAACTTTTTTTCCTTACATTTTTGCCCTTATAAACCTTAGTGATTTTTACAGGAAGGGGGTGGCCCTGACCTAATATGTGGCTTTTGAATTTTTTGTTGTTGTTGCAAGAACCACTTTAAGAGTCAGAGAACATGCAGAGTAATCATCGCAAAATCAAATTTTCTCACTTTACTATGAGCAGTTTCAATATTTGCAGTGAGAGTGGCAGGGCAGGTCTTTAAACAGGCTATTATATACAGTGGGGGGAATTTATCAAAACTGGAACAAGCAGAATCTGGAGCAGTTGCCCATGGCAACCAATCAGCATCTCTCTTCAGTTTGCTCAGGTAAGATATGAAAATGAGACAGAGAATGTGATTGGTTGCAGTGTAAATCTGCTCCAGATTTTGTATGCTCCAGTCTTGATAAATTCCCCTCAGTATGTGTTGGAATAATAACACACGGCTCTGAAGAAGGAATTTCACACTTTTAGGTAAAACCATAATTGTAATATTTAAAGGGTAAAGCCAAACCTTTTTTTGTCAGATAAAGTAGGGATAAAACCCCCATCAGGTTTTTTATTTATTTATTATTCTGCTGCCTGTGTCGTGCTGTGGAGACAACTTGAAATGATTGAAAATCTCTCCAAAGTAAGCAGAATTCCAATCTTAACCTGCCTAAGGAACAGATGTCACCATTGAAGAATTTTTACCACCTCTTGCTGTGGTGTCAAGTCATAATTTTTGGATTTCCCCTGACTTTTTGTCTCAGTGGCAGCGGTCACCAGAGTAAATAGGGGGTGTCTCTCCTTAGCCAGGACAAGCAAAACAGATGACAAACGCACTGATCAATTCGTCACCAGCTTTACAGCAAGGTGCACACGGAATGGGCTTTAAACAGTAGCCAGGACACAGAGCACAATACAAATTTGATAAAGATCTAACCCTTCAAAGGTCTGTTAAAAAGTGTTTGCTTATACATACACCCTGAGTTTACTGGAACCGTTTTATAGCTTGAAATATACAGTACACATAGACTCCAGAATTGGCTGCAGTGCACTTCCATCCTGCTCCTTTGATTCGAGGTCAATCATTTACATGCGTACGCATTTAAATGCATGTACGCAAGTTTAATAGGATGGAACAGAAGTAGAATTTTACACGTCTAAATGCTGTATGGACGTTTACTGGTCAATACTCATGTAAACACAAGCATGTTGCAGACCAAGTCATATGTTTTTTTATATAGGAAATATCTTTCAGCACTTCTGCATAAATGATCAGAATGTAATTACTGCCATGTGCATTAGCCCTAAAAGCAATATACATGAAGAGATTGACCTGTGCTTATGCAGTGTAAGGATCTGTATTACACAGGTTTTAACTAGGTTATATATACATAATATATATATATATATTGCAAAGATATTCGCAAGCTTCATTGTAAAACCTCAATGGTACCGATCTGTGACACCTTTGTTGTACTGAAATCTTCCTTTCTGAGTGCTAAGTGGGAGGGTCTGTCTGTTAATCACACAACTGAAGCAGTGAGGTGTCCATTCATTGTGCTTTCTGAGAGATAATAGCCCTGAAAATCTGTAGCTAGTTAAATCTCTGTGGTAACCAAATATATGTATACATGTGTGAAGTGAGGTGAGTGAAGTGAAGTTAGCACCAATGAATATCTAAATCAGATCATGATAATTTGTTCCATGTAGGTATCTACAAATGGTTCTCGGTTTTCTTTTTAGTTCTTCAACATTTTTGGAGGGTTTTTCTAGGCTGCTCTCCCATCCACCCCTATGCCTGCCCACCGCGGGGAGCTGGGGAGGAGGTCGACGAACTTCCGTTCATCGATCCCCTCCCCGTTCTATGGTACCGGGAGCTATGCAGATTGCATCACTTCCGGTCCCTGGGCTGCCAGTTCTGGGCTCCTGGAGCCCAGCTATAAGCTATTGAAGTGCGATCTGCACTTCAATAGCTTATTTCCAGTGTAAAGGTGACACTGGGGGTCTTTTGGACCCCCAGCATCACCTTAAAGAGTACCTGTCACCACCATCTGCTATCACATGGGGGGGCTTGTAAGCCCCCCCATGTGATAGCAGTCAAAGTAAAGTAAAAAAAAAAAGAAAAAGTTTTTTAAATTAAATTTAAATGAAATAAATCTAATAATAATACAAAAAATGTAAAAGTCCCCAGCCCCCGCGAGCACACGCGTCGCCACGTAAACACGCGTCGGGTGCGCCTACGTATGAAAACGACGAACGCGCTACACATG